CTTCGTGTACAGTTCCAGGGGTTGTAACTCAGTTAATATACTTTAAGGTTCCAATAAACCATTAAAGCACCAGAGGTGATAAGTTGTTTTGTATTATTTTAAGTAGATGCATAGAATATGTTTTACTTGAATTTTTACATTTATAATTTATCTTGTGACCACTTCACATTTTAAAGTATATGTAATTAAAGTATAAGTTTAAAGTTTCTTAAATGATATTAAGATAATTACGCATTAAAAGCTACAGACATTTATGTTTTGTAACAACAACAGTCAACAAAATATTTATCCGTCATTTAAATTTGAAGCCTTCCCAAACACTTTGGCTAGTTTACATCGATTTCCTTCTCTTTAAGCATCTTTTCTAACAATCTGAGATTTGTCTCAATATGCAAATCAATGCTGTCGCTAGTTTCTGCGCCTTTATCTCCTAACTTGTCAACCTCTCCACAATGTACCTATGAGGGTTTAGTTGATCTGGTAAAAGTTAAATAGTCCAAAACTGATTGATTGTCACATTAGCATGTTTCTCTTCTAGTCTAGTCCAAAACTCCCGACAGGTGTGAAGCATATTATCACTATGTCTGAAATTAACTACAATAATATTAGAAAAAGGTTTAAATAAACCTCTTATTTAAAAAGAGCTTAAAACATAAAGGCATGTTCTGATGCTAACAAAATCGATTACATCTCATGGTGACGTAATTAAACAAGAACAGTCAAATTCAAACTAATAATGCGGATTAGTGGTCAAAGATTATACAATTTAATTTAAATTTAATCTGGCTCAATAACTCTATCATATGAGGAAATACAAATGGGGAATTATCGTAAAGGTTGAAATCATAAACAATTGGGTAATTTACATAATAATAACTGCACATATCTTTGAAAATGCACATATCTTTGAAGAATAATTTCCTTTATGTATTCAGTTTCTTTCTTCAACACGTTTCCTTTTCCTTTTAGAATTTTTGGATTTAATAAAGGATTTCTGTTATTCTAAAGAACACTAAATGCATTTAGAATGTACAGAAAAAGCAGCTAATTTTATTTCTTTAGTATTATGAACATTCAGAAGCAATATGAAATATATATAACGTAAAGGCCAGTTAGAGCTGACGTGGCAGAATTTCTAGAATTTAGTAACACACTGAACAACAAAATCTAGAAATGGCAAAACGTTTAGGATTTATAGAAGGCATTGGAAGCAGAATTTAATAAGGCACTAGGCAACAGAATTTAGGATCCACAGAGATTGCATCAGGTGGGAAAATGCCTAGCACTAGCTATGTGGATGATGCATTAAGAAATATTAGATGAATTTTTTAAATTGTAAGTTTTCAATTTCTTTATTAATAAAAAAATCCCTTTCTGTAATGCCTTGCCATGTGATAAAATCAGAAGCATTTTTGATATTTTCCATGCATCTGTCTAGTGAAAAGTACAGAAAATAAAGAGAAGATAAATATGATAAGATTCTAGTATCAGAAGTAAAACATTTAAATATTATGTTTTCATTGTTCTTCCAGATGTTCTCCAAAAATTAAGAAATTCATTGCAAACCTTCTGTAAAATACATCCATTAAGTGTTGATACCATGGAGACATTTTTCATTTTGTCATATATTTCTCGAATCTTCTAGAATCGTGGGGTCTATAAATCTTGCCTTCAAATCCTTCTAACTTTCCAAGCTGCAATGTCTAAAATCCTAAAGAAAAATTATCCCTACCAATTCTGTAACAGCAAAAAGCCAGAAATATTTTGGGAAAAAATAGGAGGGAAAAAGTATAAAATAAATTTTATAGAGAAAACTGATGCACATTCTGAGAATTTTGAATATTCTGAGACAATTACATGGAAAAACTCTTACTATGAAAAAATTAAAATGAAGGCATTTTTTAATTAATTACATAGCTAATTTTGCTTCTGCTAAGAGCTGTTTCGTAAATTGTGCTTTATAGCATTATACCTTGTTTATTTTTCAGATTTAAAATATTGTATGATAAGTTGCCAAAATGAAACTTTATAATATTACAGCGAAAAATAAAAATGTCTTATTTCAATGTTATTTTTTAAATATAATTTCAATATATTACCATTATTTTAATGAAATTTATTAATGTTACGATGTTTTAAAAAAAATCGTCGGAAAATTCTCAGATCTCGGAATTAAAAAGTTTCTATAGAAACTAATCTTAAAATCGTCAAAATATTGAAAAGATGCCAAATTTAGAACCGTTTAATAAATTAATTGACATCCCCAAAAGCGAAAAGTTGTTTAAGAGCTCTTTACTAGAAAAATGAATTTCGAAAGGCTTATGTTTCACTTCTTGCTTAGAAATTTGAGTATCCTATCATTTATATTACATTAGAAATAGAAACAAATTATAACTCATGAACACATTCAAAAGATAATCATATATACGGCAGTGAATCGCCAAAAATATTCCTCAAAATGCTAATTCACACTCAAAATGACAGTCGTAAAAACAGACACCAAATTTCAGGTGATTAAAATTAAGGACCTTCTGCTGATTTTGGCCAAAATTAAGGACTTTTAAGGACCAAAAAACGATTTCAAAAAATCTAAGGACTTTTACGGACTCTTAAGGACCATACGAACCCTGATATGGCCGAACGTTGGAGAATATTTGCACTATGGAGGATACTTTTGATTCTTATTTTTGTGAATTTATGTGGTGACGCCAGTATACAGATTCTAGTTCAGATAATTTTAGGAAGTTTTTGGATGCTGTTAAAGGAAATTGGTTTTATTGAAGACAGGGAAATTTGCAAATAAGGTTAAGTGGATATTTCCTTTGTGTAGTGCTAAGATGAATTTCCTTTCTTTTATGTTATTTCATTGTTTTATTTAAAATGTAGTCTATTGAGATTATGTATTTTTTGTTGGCCGTTTCTTTGACTTTTTAAGTGAATATAAATTGATGTGTACATGAACAAAGGGAGTGCATAATGCCTAGTTTGTGCAATTCTCTGATGTTTTTTGAGGTGAATATAGGTCAATGTGTACATGGATACTGAGTATGTGCAATTCTTTGACTGTTTTTTTTTTTTTATATATATATATATATATTTCTGTAGCGGTGCAAAAATCGAAGCCAAATAACCAAACAAAGACAAAATAACAAGTCAAAGAATTGCACAAACTCGGTGTCCATGTACCGCCAAAGGGTATCTGTAAATATAGTTTTACCCTCTTTATTAAATTAGATAAGAGTCTAAATTTGGAAGAGTATTTATTTCATTATAAATTATTCATTTACTTAAGAAATGGAACAGTTGTGAATTAAGAATCAGAAATAATATCCTACATGACATCCCTATTCCAACTGAAATTGTTTTAAGGAAATTCAAGTAGCGTATAAGTTTTGGTGGTGAAATATGTGTTAAACTATGTATGAAAGAGTTTAGTCAAGTTAATAGTACAATTTAAATAAAAACTGGCTTGAGAATGCAGAGAATTTAAAGTAAGGCTTTCCAGCCAATAACTAAATGTTTTTTTTTTTTTTTTTTTTTTTTTTTTCCCCTTAAATTAGCACCTCAGGGCTGAGAATTGAATGTATGGTATATGAGGCCTTGTTTGCCAAAATGCTAACACGTAGGATGTTCGGTTAGGCAGTAGCGTTGTACACTTTTTACATGAACACATGCCCTCATTACAGTACACCTCCCTGAAGAGCATGGGAGAGATTTAAAAGCTTGAAAGAATGTTTTTCCCATTTCATGTTACAATTAATTTGTGTAAAACCTTTAAAAGCTAAGTGAATATGTTAAATATATGATATTTTTCCTTTATTAGACGGAGAAAAGATGAAAAGGTAGAAGGAATACTGTGTATGTAATGGAAGTGATATGATATTTCGTCTGTGAAAATTAGTTTAAGAAATTGTAAGACTAAAAATTTGTGAAGGTTGACTCAGTGTTAGGTTTAGAATTTAATAGTCTTTATTAAGGCAATTAAAGATCTTTTATTGACAATAGCTAAATTCTGGCGAGGAAAGATGTTGAGGTGTATATTATTTTTACTTCAAGTTTTTTAATTTGTTAGCCTTTTCTGCCATTCTTGTTTCTTTCACATTCCCTTGACAGGATGTAAATGAGTTAGGGTAAACAAGAGAGTACTTAATTTGAAATAATGAAAAGGTTAGCCAGAGCATGTTTTGCTATTGAGGGTGCACGTTGCTGTTTCTACCAGTTGTTTGTATTTTGAATCTCAGCTTCCAATTCTTGCCACCAATATTTAATATGCCAATATAGGCTTGAGTCAACCTACTAACGAATTTGTGTAATCTTGAACTATTATCTCATCTTTAAATTTAGTTTAGTTTACCATTATCTTTAGTTTTATCACCACAAATAAATGGCAAATTTCTAAGCACTAAGTCTGTGCTATCTGTAAATAACTGAGTTCAATAAAAGGGTCTTTTACACCCTTCGTCTGCTGCATTCATCTTCTAATCTTAGCAATAAGTTACAACAGTGTATGCTAGCCAAGAAGACTAGATCTTACAAGCATTACAAAGTTTATAATTCACATAAGAAAAACCAAGGAAACCTCATACAGCCCAATAATATTAAAAGGTTTTTGCTATTATATGAATCATTCATTCAATTACTCTTTTTTAAATTTAAGAAACAATATCAGATAATAAAGTGAGCAGCTCTATTAAAAGTTCTTACCTGTATGTAGTTTAATGTCAAACTCATACAGCACGCCTATTCAAATGTAGAAATTAATAGAAAAATAGTGAAATATTTTCACTATTATATGAATCACTCATTCAATCACTCTTTCTTAAATTTAAAAAAAAAATCAGATAATAAAGTGAGCAGTAATTTAAGCAGCTCTATTAAAAAATTCTTTAACTATATAGCAGTTTAATGACAAGAACTACACATTTAAAATTAAAAACTGAAAGCAGAATTTAAGAAGTTTTTAAAAAGGAAATTTTTTTTTAGATATAAATAAGTCTCACCTGTTCAATAGTTTTAAAGTTAGACATATCCATCAAAAAGTTCGAAGAAACAATACCTTCCTGTATCATAAGAACATATACAGAATTTCTAGCTCTGGCTCTTCCCTTAGACTGAACATATGAACGAAAATCTTTGGGCAAATCAAAACGTATTACTAAATTACACTGTCGTATATCCATTCCTTCTTCCAAAACACAAGTTGCAATCAAAATATTACACTCGTTTTTACGAAAACTAGACACAATTTCTTTTTGTTTCTTCTCTGTCATAGAAGTTTCTGCAAAGTTAGCCTTACCATGACCAACAATAAAATTAGGTTTTAAAAATGCAAGGGCAGGATATTTCTCTGTCATATATAATATCCACTGATATAAAACATAGGCAGTAATTCTTTGCTCTACAAAAACGATGGAACACACATTTATGTCTGAACAATTTGAATATTTCTGCATTAGCTTACTGTTAACAAAATATTCTTCAGGATCTTCTGCAAATGTGACATCAGAGGTATCGGGCAGCTCATTAATAAATTTTTTACTTTGTTTTACAGCAAAAAATATTTCGAGTAATCTTTTTAATTTATGAGGCATACTATTTTCATTTTTTTGCAACAAAATTTCGCACTTTTTTATAAAATCCTCAAAAAATTTTTGAATCTTTTCAAGAATTTTCAGATATTTTTCCATAATTGGACGATCACAAAGAATGGTAACTTCTTTCAAATAAATCTTAGCAGCAGTACATGCACACCACAAACCCAAGTTTTCTAAAGTTTCACATACAGCATTTAAACAGCGCAATGGTTTATCAAAAAATATAACACCTTCTGAAGAATAGCGGAATTGTTTCTCAAATAGTAATTCACTTTCTAAAGAATAAGCTTCATCTCTAGAAAACTCTGATTTTTTAAGTTTTAACTCATTCGATAAATTTACAATTTCTTCTTTAAGATATGAATCTGTAAACCCAGATGCATGATAAAATATAGCTATTTCTTCTGGATCTGTTCCATATTTCTGTATTTCACTTACATCACTTGCTGTAATAATAGTACTCCTAAGAGTTTTCTCAAGCTCACGCAAATTTTTCTCCAGTTGTGAAGGTTTACATTTTCCATTTAACAATGATGCACTCAAGCCAAAAATTTTTGGCAATTCAGAAGGCTCTATATTCAAAAAGCATTTCATTGCTTGCCTATATGGATGATCTTTTTGAGCCCGATGACACTCATCAATGACTAATAATTTTATTTTGCTAAGTGAGATGAAAGCATGATCAACAATTATCCGGAATATCTCTGCAGTCATTACTAATACTTCATAGGTTTTAAACTGTTCCTCCCACTGTTCTTTACTCCATGAATCTACGTCCATTTCACCATAATAGCCTTGAACTTTGAGGTCTGTATGATCATTGATGGTATCTCTTTGTTGCAAGACCAGTGGAACTGAAAATAAAATCAGGATTAAGTAATTAGCACATAACAGTGATTGTCAATTAAGACTGCTCAAAGACTACCAACTGCCAAAAGTTGTTATAAAAAGACCCGATTTATACAAGTTTTATAATTATTTTTAGAATTACACAATAAAAGTATAGATATAATAAATTCATTATGTCTTTATTCATTATTCCTTTATCAATAATAAACAATATCAGAGTTGGAAAAGAAACAGATTTTCATATATCATTGACCCAACACACTGACATTTATAAAAATATTAAAGTTTAGATTAGATTTATATTTATTTACATATATTTATTTATATATTATTTTATATCTTTAGATTTCTCTGTGGAGAAAATATTGGAATGGTAAAAAAATAAGATGTGCCTAGTTCAGAGGTGAATGGAAATAACTGCATATGTAAAAAGGAACCATATTCTTGTTCTAAGCTTTAAAATTGCCATTAAAATGTTTTAAAATATTTTTAAATTGAGTTTCTCTTCTGTCTTCCTGGCACTAATGCTAATATTAAATTAGTATTTAGTGTTATGAACAGTTTTTGGACTAGTGATAAGACACAGCTTGAAGTGGACATTTTGAAGGGTATACTAATTACCAAAATAAATTTCGATGAAAACTGCCCGGTTTTTTATAAAAAGATCAAAAAAGAAAAAGATGTCCTAAGAACTATTCATACTTCAGAGAAATATAAGGCTACTTCATCAAAATAATTTAAAACGATTACAAATTTATTATTTTGTTTAAAAATTAATACTGCGCTTTGATTTAGTCTTTATTATTAAAAAATATTATATATCACTATTAAAAGATAAAACAAAAATTACTCATTTTAATTTATATGTATATGATTTGGCCTATATTCCACCCCCACCACACTAATATGGCCACTAATTTGGCCTATATACCACCTCTAGCAAAACTAATATGGAACTAATTTGGCCTATATACCACCTCCACCAAATAATCAAATAATTTATTTGCAAGAAAAAATTATACAAGTAGCATCCTGAATTTAAAACTTCAAAATCTGGTCACCTTACTTATATGAACTTTATACATGGGGCTGCAAACAGCAAAGCTGCAGAAGTAGTGAGACTTTATGGGAAGTAATTTCCAAACTTTCCAAACAGGATGACCAATCAGAGAACATTTCAATATTTGACTAGGCAAATCTTGGAGATGAATTCATTCTGCAGCCAAAGACATCACACAAATCAGCTAAGGAGCACGAGAATGAAAAATCAAATACAGACAATTCTTGAAGTAGTGGACAACAAGCCTGAAAAAGAAACACAAAAGCAACAGCTCATGCCTAAAATTTCAACCATATGATGGTATGGAATGTGTTGCATGAAGAAAGGTTATACTCTTATCATCTCCAGTATGCCCCAGCCTTAAATGAAATGGATTTTCTATAATGTGCAACATTTCAATGTTAGTTCCCACAACAGAGTATACTGCACAGTCTGTAGCACCCATCCTGCTTAGGGATAAGGCTATGTTCATATGTAATGGCACATTTAATATGAACAACAATCATCCATAGGCCACAGATATCTGCATGCCACATATTTGAGATGCCAGCAGCAAAAATTCTCTGTCAATATGCAAGGATTATCAAGGATCACTTGATATCACACTTTCTTTTATTATCAGACTGCCTATATGATAAATCTACCTTACTTTCTTCAACAGGTTCAGCCTGAATTACTAGAAAAATATGGCAGAATATGTTTGAACAATTATGTGGTTCCAGCATAATGGAGCAGCACATTTCTTCAGAATTATGTGAAATTACTTGCACATTGCCTTTCTGAAACAAATGCAAAGACCATGGTAGGCCTATCTCTCGGCATCTCAAATCTCTGATCTCTCCTGCCTGAATTTTGTTTTTCTGCAGACAGCTAAAAAGTGTCGATATGAGATGCTTATCAATTCATCAGAAGATCTTGTTGCTCAGCTTAGTGTTGCAGCTGCAGACATCCATGAAATGCCAGGAATTTTCAAACATGTGCATGATTCACTTTGTCACCAATGTGATGCCTGTACTGCAGCCAGGGGTTCCTCATTTGAGCATTTTTTGTAAAGTTTTCAACAATAAAGATTCTTTGTACTTTAACTATTCCTCTTTATTGTGTTCTCCATTTTTACCACACATAAGCACTCTCACAGCTTGCCTTTTACTTTCCAACCAACCGTTGTATGGTGAAAAGTTTTTTTTTTTTTTTTTTTTTTTTTTTTTGCAGAAACTCTTAGCCCTTACAGTTGTGACCATTAGTCATTACACCCTGTATATTTTATTCACATGTTGCACTGTTATACAACTAATTTATATATTTTCTTTTTCAATGTAATTTAACTAGCCCCATCTATATGCTTGCAATAACTTTTTTTTTTTTTCAATACATAATGAACTCTCAATTAATAACAGTAATACCTGGGATGATGTCCATGCTTAACTCAAAAGCATGATTAATCAGAGAACAGTTAAAAATAAAAAAAGGAAAAGAATAATCAGCATTATAATTATATATCAACTTACATATATTTTCAAGCAGTTTAATCTAGAGAATAATTTCAGTGTCTACATAAATTTAATCAGTATTCAAAATTATGAAGAAATTAAATTACATATTATTATGGATGTGGGAATCATGAAGCAATGAGCAACCTTCATTTATGGTAGGAAACCTTCAAGTAAACGCATTTTTCTTGGTTCTTAGAAGTCCAATAGAAGCTGCCTGATGGAACACTTACAAAGGACCTACAACAAGATGCTTACTGATCGCATGCAGGCGATCAGACCTGGACTGATCTAAAGCGACCACATGTAAGTGGTCAGCTGTTATCATTAACCTGTGCATGAGAAGGTGACACTGGAACTAATGTTGTGATTCCTCTTCTAAAACATACTCAATCCATCTGTACAAACTCCTCCCATTTATCTTCTCTGAATCAAGAAATAAAGCCTGATACTTGGAAACAGTAAGTGTGATTTCTGTTTTATGATAATACATCATCTCCAGATAGGTAAAAACAACTCTTAAATAAACTACTCTAATAAAACAACACAGATGGATAAAAACAACTCTTAAACATCATGTGCTTTCACTGCTTTTAATTCATGTACTTTTCTTTTCTCTTTTATGTTTACAATAGGCAATTTGTTTTGCACTGATAATTTAGAATAGTAATTTTTTTCATTTTTCCACAATAAATGAGCTTAATCTTCATTTTTTTTTTTCAATCCACGACTTGGTTAATCAGACATCAAATAACTGGGAGTTGGCTGTATAAGCATTTTTATATACTTTCTATGAGATCTACTTTCATATCTGTGAATTAATTCAGAATTCTGAAGCTGAATTTCAGTTCATGTCTATTTCAAAAAGTATAGAAAACAAAACTGAATTAGAAAAAGAAATTGAACAATAAAATTGAATGTTTTGCCACTTTCTTCAACCTCTTGGAATATCTCTCATACTGGATCTCACCTTCTTCCTCGTTTATTCATGTCACAATGTAAGAAACAAAAACAAAAATTTAAAAAGAAATTATCATTTTTTCTGAGATTAAAGTAAAAATTATAAAGAAGATACACACAAGTGCTTAAAATGGAAACAAAACATATGAATAGTTAGCTCATTCTGCATCATAACAAATAAATACAAGATCATTTAAAAGGACATGACAATAGCTTTTAACAGAAACCAGTGGAGTTTTCTTTTGCTAAAAGCTACCAATTATAAGAAAACGGAAGAGCTCCTGGGTAAAGAAGAAAAAAAGGGGGAAAAAGGTATAAACTGAGGTATATTTTAGAGCAGTGCTCCGCAACCTTTTCTCACCTGCGACGCACAAAAAATCTTTCTGCAATTTCGTGGCACACGAAAAGCTAATGTATATATGTATTGATTTATACACAAAATTTACAATAATTTTTTTGTTTTTAATTTGAAAAATATACAATTATAAAACCATAACATATTTATTTATATGCAATCATAATAATTATCAATGTGATACCTGCGCTTAAAAAAAGTTATATAATTTTGAGTTCCGAGTTATCAAGGAAGTGCCGAAAAAATTCAAATGCTGACACACAATCACACACACAACCACACAACAGTGAAATATATAAAAACATTTAAAATAGACATTATTAAGGAAAAAAATTGTCATTGTGTATTAAATACATGATAAAAAATTGTAAAATGTCAAATACATGTATTTGATTGCGGCACACCTATATCCTACTCATGGCACACCGGTTGCGGAGCACTGTTTTAGAGCACTGAATTATTCAAAACTTACTCAAAAATCATTACTTAAATATAAAAATTTAAAAAACTAATATCCAGATTGTAAAGATAATTTTCCTTCTGGGCCAGCATAAACTCAGTTAAATATCACATCAATAAATGAATAAGAATTCTATTGCACTTTTCACTGGATTTTTGGGACAGGGATTATTTAATTGCTCTGGATGTTATTACAGACACAATAAAACATTTATTTTCATATAAATGAAATTATTAATAGTAAATTTACTCTCTTTAACAGTCCCATAGGTGCACATTGTCTACTCAGTCTCTTTTTTTATATTTATTTATTTTTTATTTATTTTCTTTTCCATTTCTTCCACTGTTTTGCAAGATACATTTCTTAAAAGAGAAATACATCCTTGATTTCTTACTAGCAATTTAAGATTCATCTCTATTTCAGAAATTATAATCCCAAAAATATCAGAGAATATTACCAACATTAAGTCTGTTTCAGAATTCCTATTTCAGATGATAAATTTTAGGGGTAGAAACTGAGCTGTACAAGTTAGTCAACATTTCAATAAAACTACAGGTGAATATTGCAATTACTTCCCTTATTGATACATTGTGTTAGACTAGTAATTAACATCTCTGAGGTTTCATTCTATAGATACTAAAGAAAGACAAAGTTCCTCATATGAGAAAACTGGATTTTTTTTTTTTTTTTTTTTTTTTTTTTTTTTTTTTTTTTAAAGCTTTCAGAGTGAGTCTCTTCAGTTCTTTAAGCAGCTAAAGTTGGAAAAATTGAAATCAGATTATATGTATCAAATATTTTGCACATGCATTCAAGCATGCAATGAAAAATTGTTATCCCAGCCATCTAAAGAATAATTGAATAAAATAAGAGTAAAATGTGGGTCAAACTACTATTACATATTACCACATTTTATAAGCAATCATATAGTTATCGCCAGTATGAGCATAAAGCACTTCAATAAAGTCCAGATAAGTAAATTTCCCATTTGAAACATTTATTTTAATCTGTATCTTAAGTTAATTCTAGACAGCTTTTCAAGAAACATAAACAAGTCCGGCTGAAAATGCATGGTGCGTATAAGGATCTTTCTGAAGATATGAAGATTAGCAACACTGCACAGTACCTACTGGACTGAAGTATGAAATGTCTATATTAGAATATTCTTTCTTTGCATTTAGGCAACAAAAGAGTTCTGCAAGAATTAGACTTGTGACATTTCCAATACTAACTCACTTTCTACTATTGTCTTACCTATTAACAAGAGCAAGAAGTGCAATGTTGCCATGTCGTAATTATTCATATCAGATTTTTTTCCTACATTAACTTATCAAATAGTTGCCATGCATTGAAGGTTTTTGAAGTAATGAAACCTCTAAATAAATGACATTAAGAAGCATAATCTTTATACATAACTAGATGAAATAATAATTAGAAATACAGTCAAAAGTCATTAATTCGGACACCCATAATCCGGAATGATCTATAATCCGGACCTCAAAGCTAAAAACTTTCTGCGCATGCGCCGCGTTGACACATGCGCATAGGCATTTTACGCGTGCACGTAGATCTCTTACGACTGCGCATTTGCGTGTGCGCAAGCGCAGAATACGTTTTCGCGTGCGCGTTTTATGTATAAAGAACGGTATAAGCTAAAATTATCCAATTATCTATTTCAGTTAATGTTGATGATTGCGTTGTTCCTTAATTTCCGAATTGGATCCAGCTTATTATTTTTTGCAGACTGTAAGAGCAATACTATAAAAGTAAACTTGAACTTTCGATTATGTCAAATAGAATTTTCGAATCTGGAGCTCCCAAAGGATCGTACAAAACGAAAGTATGTTTCGATGTCCATCAAACAAAAAGTGGAATTGCTGCAAGACATGAAGAATGTGACAGAGAGGTTAGTGAAAACGAAAAAATTTCGATTGACAAGTTAGTCGTTATTCTCGGCACAGCAATTAACGGGACTTGAACAGCGGAACTTTGTAACTGAACAAAAAAATTATGTCTGTGTTTATATAATTAAAGAGAAAGTATTATCACATAAAACGAAGCAACTTAAACAACTTACATTGAAAGAAATGTTTAATAAAGTAAACAAATAAATATTAAGCTTTTTTTTTTGTAAATTTTGATACCCTTTAGATCATAATTGTTCTTTATTTCATAAATTACGGTTTCCTATTTTTTATTTTAGAATTTCTGCATGCCATCTCACGCGATTTAAACTGATGATCTATAATTCGGAAAAATCAATAATCCGGAATCGCCGAAATCCCGACAAGTCCGGATTAACGACTTTTGACTGTAATATAAGTTGCCATAAGTTTATTACTTAGTAGTATAAAACACAAAAATACTGGCTGCTTTTTGGGAAGCAACTTGCAAAGTGACTTTAATCATTTAAATACAAACTCAGATACACATGTGCATTAACACACAAATAAGTATATTATTGTAGTTATGTCTTTTATATACACAAAAACAATAACAATAAATGCAACCATACGAATGACAGTTACATTTGCAATCTACATAACTTTCTCAAAACAGTTTTTTCACATTATATCTGCATAACCGCTACTTCTGTTAAGTGCTTTAAACAAACAAAAAAGAAAAGTTTTGCTGCCTTTTCAACCCTCAACTGATTTCTAAATATGATGCACACAGCTTCAAAAGCAAAAAATATTCTTTCAATCCCTGGCTGATGACTACCTAACATGTTAATAATGCCCAGATCTTTTATTCCCATGCATTCTTTCACAAAAGCTAGTGATTAATACACCTCTATATACACATCCAACCATTTCTTGAATATTGTAGTTTAATATTTGAAAAACTAGACAGAAAAATTATTCAAGATTGAAAAAAAAAAAAATTAAGTTTTTCATTTCCAAATAACTTTTTAACACACAATAATGTACAATTTATTTTTTTTAATCCATTTATTAAACATTTCGGAAACAGTAATGTTCCAGAATTATTTTACTTCAGTTACAGAATTTAAAAAATTCTTTACTACATTAGTATACACATGCATAAATGAAAAATGTTTCAAATAAAAAAATAAAAAAAAAAAAAAAAATAAAAAAAAAAAAAAAAAAAGATAAAGCAAAATTAACCTGTTGGTACAAGGAAAAAAATTCTTTTCCCGCCTTCAGCAAAAGGCACACGAACTTCATCTGCATGTTCACGAATAAGCATAACTGCTATAAAAGTCTTTCCAGTTCCAGTACCAAGACAAGCAATTACATTTTCTCTCTTTGCAGCTTCCAGTATTTCGATCTAAAAATTAGAACAGAAAAATTGTGTTTATCTATATAAACTACTTTTATACCTACTTAATATTAATTACTTTGTTGTACGATAACCATAACTCACATAAAAAAATTAATACAAAACTGCACAAAAAGAATAAACACTTACTTATACCAGGGAGACTTACCTACTTTAATGCTAATAATTCCTTTCTTAAAATAATTACTAAATGCTATATTGTATTTAATATACTATTCATTTTTCAATATTAAAATTCAAATTTTAAGATATCTCAGATTTGTTTTTCAAGTTTCATATTTTTACTTCCTTATACGAAGTAAAAAGGAAATACCGTAATCTCGAAAAGTTTCAGGCAGCATATTTCAACGAAAATATCCATTTTGACTGCTATCGAATGCAATTTAACGATGTTTTTGCGTGATATCTGTACATTAGAACAGAATAAAAGATTCTTTTCCTCCAAAAAAATTTTAAAACTGCTTTAAAATGAATTCTGAAGAGAATTTTTTGTCGCGTCTGTATGAACGTACGTACTTATCTCGCATAACTCAAAAACGAGTAGCCTCAGAATGTTGAAATTTTGTATATAGGACTGCTATAACATGTAGATGTGCACCTCATATTTTGGTTGCAATCGGCCGCACCAAACATATATAAATATATTTATATATATATCCACTCTGCTACCCGGCTCAGTGATCTCAGTTTCTTTACTCTTATCTGTTTGTAAATTGTACATTTTTTGCTTTAAAAATGATTGAATTATGTTGTTCTTCTCTTCCGGTTAAGGTTTTTATGCCTTTAGTAAACCTGTATGAAATAGTTTTAGAATTATCAACAATTTTAAATTGTTTAAGTGCCGCTAAGCCAAATAATTTTTTTGATGGTGGCCATTGCTTGTTTACATTTGAAACAGCAGAATAGTGGATTTGTTGCCAATCTAGCGAAACTTAGCTTCGCAACAACAAAGATAACGCCTTCATTTATTATTGCGAATTAAATCATGCTTAATCCTTTCTGGAATTTTTTCAAGGAAATAAGTGTTTAAGATTTACTTCGTAATTTTTAATACGGATATTTTGAGTTTTAATGTATTTTTGCCTTGTTGCGAAGTGTGTGTGTGTGTGTGATTATGGCAAAGCCTCGAGGGCTATCTGCCTAAGGGGAGGGATGCCTTCGTGGAGGACTTTCTAAGGGAAACTGGCTCGTATACACGTTACACATGGGGAAAACCACGAAAACGCCCATGCAGCCAGCCCGTTCACGTGATTCGAACCTCGGACCGAACTACCAGTGTTCAGCGACTTTACCGCTCGGCCGCTGGTGGGCCCTTGTCGCGAAGTGAGAACTGAATTAATTGAATGAGAAATACTCAATCGTCTGTGAAAAACTGTTTCTTTTTTGTTTTGTTTGCTTAATTTCTTTTATACATCATTCTAGCTTTATTATAGTATTTGAATAGAACATGTGGCAATGATTAGATAATTCTTTAAATGATATAAATTGTGTGCATTCTGAGTTATAATATGAATAAAATATAATACTGTTAAGTGAACCTAGCGCCAGAGTGTCGCTATCGTAAACAAATAGAGTGAATTTCAAAGAATGCATTTATTTTATTGCGGTTTATGTGCTATTTGGCGAAGTAGATTTAATTCAATCCAATAAGTTTAAATGAAATGCAAGAAAAAATGCGTATAATTTAATATTCTGTACAAGCAAGTCATGTGGTGTACACATCAAATTTTTTTATTTTAAATAACTGATGTTACATTTTCAAAAATTAAAATTATATAAGTATTTATATATGGGCTTTACTGTTAGAAAAATGAAAACAGAAAAAAGTCCATTTTTTTAAAACCAAAATTATTCAAAACACATCTTCCACTGGTAAATTAGATTTTATTGAGGCGTTTCACATTCATATGAATTTTTCAGCTCTAGTTAATGATCTCAATTCTGCCCTCAGCTTTTAGGGAAATTATTACACAATTCTTTTTATTTTTCATCAACAGATAACCAATAGCTTGACTTCCTTCCTCTCATTCTTATAACCTTACCATTGGCTTTTGCCATTTGCACATCTACAGATGAAGAAGCATGTTCTATGTTTAAAGCTTAGAAACTAATCTTGAAAATTTATGAATATTGCATCGATTCTGTTGCTTACTTCCTCCAACAGACAGTAGTTCACCATCGAAACACTGCTCAACATCACCAAAACATTGCTTTGAAATATCTCTTCATATCAATTTTTGGTTAGCAGTCAAAAATTATGGCATCCATCTCAGATAAAATTTTTCTTGTATTCTTACTTGTACTCCTGTGCAACACCCAACTACATTTGCGGCATTATCATATGTTTTATCCATTGATATCTAAAGCAGGCGCACCGTCCTTAGATATCAAAGGACAAAACAGACATGTAGGTGAGAGGACAGATTATTTTCGCAAAATCATTTTCTATTTTTCTAAAGAATTTTCATCTTCAACTATCGAAATTTATAACCAGAAATTCTAGTTCTGTCCAGCCTATCATGGCCCCACGCCCCATGTGCCCAATGAATAAACCTGCACTGGGGAAATGGAAGATGCATTACTCAAAAGACTATGGAAAAACACATTGCTTAATGGAAAAAAATCTGATGTGTACACCACAACTTCCTTGTACGGAATATTAAATTATAAGCATTTTTTCTTGTCATTTAAACTTATTGGATTGAATTAAATCTACTTTGTCGATAGCGCACAAATCACAATAAAATAAATGCACTCTTAAAAATTCAATATATGTGTTTACCATAGCAACACTCTGCCACTAGGTTCACTTAACAGTGTTATATTTTGTTCATTTTATAATTCAGAATGCATAAAATTTATACCCTTTGAAGAATTATCTAATTGTTGCCACATGTTTTATTCAAATACTCTAATATGTCTAGAACGATATATAAAAGAAGTTATGCAAACAAAACAAAAAAGAAACAATTTTTCACAGATGATTTAGTATTTCTCATTCAATTAATTCAGTTCTCACATCACAACAAGGCAAAAATACATAAAAATTCAAAATATCTCTATCAAAAATTACAAAGCAAATCTTAAACACTTATTTCCTCGAGAAAATTCCAGAAAGGATTAAGCATGGATTAATTGGCAATAATAAATGAAGGCGTTATCTTTGTTGTTGCGAAGCTTAGTCTCTCTAGATTGGCAACAAATTTACTATTCTGCTGCTTCAAATGTAAACAAATATATCCGCCATGTTATTTAAAACTTAAGGTTTAACTACATTTAAACAACCTTTAAACTGTTAATAATTGTACAAATATTGCTTGCAGATTTACTAAAGGCATAAAAACTTTAACCGTAAGTTAAGAACATAATTCAATAATTTTTTAAAGCAAAAAATGCACAATTTACAAACATATGAATAAAGAAACTGAGATCACTGAGCCGGGTAACAGAGCGGATATATATATATTATATATATATATAATATATATAAATATAATAAATATATATGAATATATAATATATATATAAATATATATATATTATATACGTTTGGTGCATCCGTTTGCAACCAAAATACAAAGTGCACATCTACATGTTATAGCAGTCCTATATACAAAATTTCAACATTCTGAGGCTACTCCTCTTTGAGTTATGCGAGATATATGCGTACGCACATACGTTCGTACAGACACCACGAAAAATTCTCTTCAGAATTCATTTTAAAGCAGTTTTATAATTTTTTTGGAGAAAAAGAGTCTTTTATTCTGTCTTTACATACAGATGTCACGCAAAACATTGTTAAATTGTATTCGATAGCAGTCAAAATGGATATTTTCGTTGAAATATGCTGTCTGAAACTTTTCGTGATTACAATACTTCCTTTTTACTTCGTATAAGGAAGTAAAAATGCATTACTTCCTATATTACTTCATAAGTATGATACCGTGTGAATTCTTAACTTTACAGATATATTAAATAATAGAACATAGCATTTAAAAAACTGCAACTCGAACAGACAGACAAATCAAACATTAGAAAATAAAATAAAAGATGGAACACCAAACCTGGTAATCTCGAGGCGTAAATGACTTAGCAATATCCTGCTCACTGCTTCTTCTAATTTTTTTATTTGGTTGTTGAGTTTCCATCTATAAAAGCAGAACATTTTGTAAATTAGCAATTACTTTTAACACATTTCACCTGTACTTTAGGATTTAAAAAAAAAACTTGCATAAAAATCTGTTTACAGCATGTCCATAAAAATTCTTACACATGCTTTCTTTTTTTCTTTTTTTTTTACTTGCGATTACATACTTCCATTTACAAGGTAAACAAGGTAAATATTTATTTTAAAACAAAATAAATATTTATTTCTTGGCATTTTTAAATTTTAAAAATCTAATTTGTAAAAATTATGAGATTTAATATTTTACTTTACATTATCCTGTCCACATAGTTATATTTAGCTCATACTCATTCCGAAAAATAAAAACAAAATATTTGACTTCTTTTTTTAGGAAGCAATCAGATTTCTTAAAAATTCAAGGGGCATATCTAAACTGAAAAGTGAACATAAATTTAGAAAAATATTTCTGGTGTTTATAGGCTAATTTGACTAGCATTGTTATAAAGACATAGAAAAGTTCTTAATACAAATTATTTCAAAAAGGGACTATTATTCAGAGAATCTTATAGAATTCATGACACAGGATACAGAAACTATTTAGCACAAAGCTAATTCATAGCATTACTTGCATAAGTAAAGAAATGGAAAATACTTCAAGTTTAATTACTTTTTCTAATTGATTAATAAGTTATAATAAAGAAATAAAACTGCACTTGAATATTATTAACTATATTTAGCATTTGAAAACTTACAAATTGCTTGTGTGAAAATGCTTCCAACATATCAAATGAAAAAAAGAAAAAAAAAATCATGAATTAAAGAATGTTACATAAATCACAAAGGAATATCACTGAATGGCATTTAATGGCAGAAAGGGGGGGGAATCAATCTTGAATTTAGCAAATGTATTTTTATCTGACCCTCAAACAGATCAATTTTATTAAACAACTCAAAATTTTGAAATTAAATATCTTGGTCAATTTTTACCATAGTTCAAGTCAAACATTTTGGTATTTCATTTTTTAAAATGATTATAAACTTTTAAATTATACGGACTGACAGACAGTATAAAAAAGTTATACTTTTAATTTTTACAAAATAATTTTTTTTTAAATTTAAAAATACCAAAACATACATATTGTATCATTAAAAACATTTCTGGGCAATCTTCTATTATCAGGACTGGATTCAGAAATGTATGTAAGTGCATGTGTGTATTGTATACATTCATGTATGTATGTCTATACATGTGTGTGCATACACATACATACATACTTATATAGTACATGCATATAAGGATCACATACATTCATAAACATACACAAAAAAGCATTTTTTCAAAAATAGGGCATATGCTTGTGTCTCATTGGGAACATGTAAATTGAAACCAATGGTCATTATTTTGATGCATAAAATGTGCTTAAACTCCTATTTTCTGTGGGCTGTTTTTGAGGAGTGATGAAATCCACATAAACGTTTTTGGTTACATGGTGTATTCAGAAGTTGTGATACTGAAGTATTAGAATTTTGAACAACACTAAGCAAGATAACTCACCATTATGGTCATGGTGTTATCCATTAGCTTCATAATGACCCTTTTTTACCCTTCAACATCTAATGAATATTTTAACTACTTCAACTATGCAAGTTTAAGCAACACCAAAACAGGAACCACTGCTAAGTTACAGAATACATAAATAAGTGATGTTAAAATTAAATTAGCTACTTTAGAACACATTAGTGCTAGTTTAATGACTCTTGATAATGAAATTTTAGAACTTCCCTCAAGTGAAAACAATAATGGTAAAAGTTATTCTGATGAATTTGAATCTGTAGACGAATATAAAATCAAATTTGATAAAGCTACAGTTTGCATCAATTTTTTTATAGAAAGTAAATCACAGCCAAACAGGAATATATTAAGTAATGAGAAATCAAAAATTAAACTTCCCAAACTTGAACTAATGAAATTTAGCAGTGAAGTTAAAGAATGGTTGTGGAGTCAGTTTAAACGAATTCATAATCATAAAGAAATGGAATTGGAAGTCAAATTCCAATATTTAATACAATGTATGTCGTCAGGTACAAGAGAGAAAGAGATTATCGATAGCTATCCACCTACAGCAGAAAATTATTTAAAAGCGATTGAAAGCCTCAAAGCAAGATTTGGCCGTGAGGAATTGTTAGTGGAATACTATGTTCATGAACTATTAACTTTAGTTGTTAAAAATGCTACCAAATCAAGGCTTAGTATCACTCAATTATATGATAAACTTGAATCCCACATCAGATCATTAGAATCCCTTGGGATGACCTCAGATAAATATTCTGCAATGCTCTTCGTGCTTGTGGAGTTGTGTATTCCAGAAGACGTGTTGAGAGTTTGGTTGAGAAACTCAGTAAATGAAGAGAAATCATATAGTGCAAGACTGAGCCAACTTTTAAATTTTCTAGGGGCTGAGGTCGAAGGGGAAGAAAGAATAACTCTAGCAAAGTCAGGTATGAAGCAAAGTGATCCCTATAGAAAAGTTCATAAGGATAGGGAAGATATTACTATACCTACTGCAAGAAACTTGTTTTCAGGAGCAAAAGAAATAAATAAAAATAATGCTGTAAATTGTATTTTCTGCAAAAAATCTCATCAAAGCAAAGATTGCTACAAAGCACAAAATTTAAATCATGATGAAAAATTGAAAATTATGAAAGAAAAAAAATGTTGCTTTACGTGTTTGAAAACAAACCATCAAGCTAAAAATTGTAAAAGTAAAGTTCTATACATGTTTTGTGGTAGGAAGCATTACATTGTTTGTTGTCCAGAAGTTAAACAGAAATCAAAAGTTCCTGTCGAGTGCAATCAAGAAAATTGTGAAATTAGCACTCTTTCTTCAACGGGCACTTCAGAAAGAGTTTTGTGGTTGCTATTCAACATGAAGGAAAGAAACTTCATTTTCGAGTGTTGATCGATACTGAATCTGAATATTCCTATGTTTTAAAATCGACAGTAGAATCCTTAGGAATAAGATCAGAAGCTCATAAAAAATTAACACATATTGTGTTTGGAAGAAGGACATCTGATATGAATCATAAATGGGTACTTTTCGGTTTCGCCGGCGCAAATCTCGCCAAGCAGACTTTATTGGCGACAACATACAGTATACACATAAAAAATATTTAAGAAATTTTAGTTCTAAGAATTCTCTTTTTGAAGGCATAAACATTTTAATATCGTTTAAAAATTTATAAAAAGCCAATAAATAAAGACAATAAATTTGTAAAAAGACATTAATTTAAGAATTTACTATGCTTTCATGGTTCAACATACTAATTCGCCGGTTCATATCACGTGACCCCAAGCGATCTCATCACACGTAAACTACTCTACAAAAATCTAATGCTCTCAGTAATTATCTACATTAATTTCAAGTTAAATCTTAATTTGGAACACAAGTTTAAATGCAAGAAATATTTCAATGCGTACGAATAGCTTACTCAGAAATTATGTAAAACTGCAGTGCTTAACTTCACTAATGCATTCTCATTAGAATTGATGAATTTAACCCTTGACTTTCCTTTTCTATATTTTCGGCTTCGGGTAAGCGCTGTGATTGCATCCTAATTGACTTAATTACCGAAAATGGCCTTAGACACAAAACTGAACTATCTGATAAAAATTCTAAGTAATAATATGCCAGCATTGAAAGAAACAATCAATCTGATAAGAAAAAGCTGTGACTTGTTTTGAAAATGAGGCGTAAAAGGTTACCAGCGAGAATATTCCGTTTGGCATCGGTTGTACCATTATTGGCGACTTTATCGCTTGCGCCGGTAAAACGGAAAAGTACCCATAAATGTTATAAAATAAATGTTGAGAATCTACATACTGACTATAGCTGCAAGATTCCTGTGTTAGATCAGCCTATTAATTTGTGGATCTATACCTAGTCTACAGAAAGGACCTTGGATATGATATGAGGGATGCAGCCCGACCCTCCTGGCAGACTTTACATCGCCCTATGGCCTTTTTGTAGGCTGGAAAAAAAAAAAGGGGGGGGACCTTGGATATCAGAATTAGCTGGAAAGGGAATTCATATTTCACAGATGTTGATTGTGTCAACCCATAGATTGATCTTTTGATAGGCTCAGACTTTGCAGGAAATACTTATATAGAAAAAATAAAGAAATTAAGTATAGGCATTTCTGCCACGGAAACACTGGAAACACTGCTCGGATGGGTGTTAATTGGTAAATCGCCAACAACTGGAGGTGAAAATTCTATTGCTGCTGTAGTTACCTCCCCCTTGATTCACAATCAAGATATCAGAAACCTCTGGGAATTAGAAGCCATTGGCAATACATATTCCTTTGAATTGAAATCTAGAAGAGAAATTGATAAGGTCATAAACGATCATTTTATGACAAATTTAAGAGAAGATGAAGAGGCTGATAATTTAAAATGTTTAAAAGGCCAAGAAAAAGAAGTACCAAAAGATGTTAAGAAAGAAATGTTCTTTTTGAAGAAGTTTAGAAATGATCCAAACCTGGACAAGAATAAGAAAATTTTAAAAGATTTTATTTTAGATAAGAAGTGTAAAGGAAAATATAAAAATGATGAGATTCCGACTTATGAAGAAGCAGATATTGCAGTGTCAAGTGATGAAGAAAAAGATATGAAAAGGTAAGAATTGTTTGAACGTAAGTATATTTCCCAATTTGAAGAGTCCGATTCAAAATTCATTAAACGATATCCAAGGATGATTGAAGATTCTCTCAGACGTATTGATAATAAAAGAAAGAAGAAGCATGAAGAATACATTGAAAGAAAAAAAAAATGAAGAAAGAACAGAAAAGAGAATATCTGAAACATTTGAAAGATTTAATGAGAAAAGAACTTGAAGACAAATTTTTAAAGTTGAAAGAAGTGCCTGGTCAAAATGAATTAAACCTTAACGAAGATGATATTGAAAGTGATTTTGAACCTGAAAAACTTGACCAGAAAACGAAACAGTTTTTTTATGATGATTATTATGCTATTCAAGAAGAAGAATGTCCAAAATTTCCATATGATGAGGAACTCAATAATGAAGATTGGGACCATTGGATTGGATCAAGTAAAAGAGATGAGAGTGCTGAAGAACAACTTGAAGAAGTGCTTCTGAAACATCATGTGTTGATACTACAAATTCCAAAATTTATTCTAAATCACAGGTTAAATCAAAGTTAAAAAAGAAATGTTTAAGTCAACTCACACAGGAAGGATAAAGGTTAGAAAGAAATTCTTTTTAAAACAGTTTTTGATCCAGATGGTAAAATGTTTAATGACTATTTGAATGAGTGCTATAGATTAGATGATGAAGTGATCGAGCTATGAATGTGGCTTTTAGATTCAAGGACAAGTGAACTTTAAAATATACTTGTAAGTGAACTTTAGAATAGACTTTTAAGTGAACTTTAAAATAGACTTTTAAGTGAACTTCAAAATGGAATTTTATGTTAACTTTTAGTTTAATTAAATATTTGTTTTGATAAAAATCCTGTTATCAAAAGGTGAGAGTATGTATAAGCATAACATAGTTCATATACATTCAACCAGTGTAATATTAATTTCCTTTTAGTTTTGCTTTGAGTGGCAACAGCTGTAAAATGTTATTATTAGTTGGTAAAATAAACGTGTTTGGTTCTGTTTAAATTTTAGCGAGATCATTTAGGTAGAAATGAGTCGATGAATGGAGTGAACTTTAGAATAGACTTTTAAGTGAACTTCAAAATGGAATTTTAGGTTAACTTTTAGTTTAAATATTTGTTTTGATAAAAATCCTGTTATCAAAAGGTGGGAGTATGTAAAGTATAGCATAGCATAGTTTATATAGTACATTCAACCAGTGTGATATTAATTTCCTTTTAGTTTTGCTTTGAGTGGCAACAGCTGTAAAATGTTATTATTAAATGGTAAAATAAACTTGTTTGGTTGCGTTTAAATTTTTGCGAGGTCATTTAGGTAGAAATGAGTCAATGAATGGACAAAGTGACATACATTTACTGTCATATCCAACTGACACAAAACAGAAATGGCCACACAACCATGAAAGCAATACTCTAAAATATTAATATGGTGGGCACAATATTATTTAGATTACAGTAAAGGATACAAATTTCTGGAATAAGAAGATGCAAGTCTCACCATTTTATAGTTACCATATGTATAACTTCACAGTAACATGAAGAAACAAACATCTGGACACAGTGCATCAGCATATGATTCATAGCTAGCTGATATTCGTTACGAAAAAAGCAAAAGTCTCACAGTAAGCAATTTTCTCAGCAACAGCAGATTTCTGATCACCAGAAACAATTATAAAACAAAATCCCAGCATCTAAACGTAAAACAGTATATAAAGCTGTACATCAGCTGTAAATAAACCAGCTGAATTATATTCGCAAACTTATGTAGCATTCTTAAATCATTAAATATGCTGTAAGTTCTCAAATACAAGTTCTTGAATAACACCAAATATGCTGGCGCCTTGAATACGTTAAGTACCACTACTTTTACAGCAGAGTCGAAGATATCCTTATACCTTTGGTAACTGTTATCTATGTAACTTTAATCGTTACAAATTCTAACTATAACCATGGTACTGCAGCTTCCACATCTTATATTTTCCTGCATGAATGTTCCTGCTGCTATGTGTTCATAATGACATTTTCTTACCTTTCAACATCTAATGAATATTGTAACTGCTTCAACTATGCAAGTTTAAGCAACACGAAAACCAACATCTACAAGTGATTATAATGACATCACTGAGTGATGAGTGTCATATGATGAATTACTCATCATATGAAAAGTGGAATCTAAATCTTTTCATTATTTGATTTTATCAGACACGATTTCTTATTTAAAACAGAACTTAAATTATGATATATGGATAAATATGTCACATATACAAATTAAAAAATACTATTTTGGAAAAATTCATGACAGCTATTCTAATTAAATATTTATGTTACAGAACATATTTTTCTTAAATGGTGCCATTAATCTCTTACTTATATCGCAAAATTAATATACAAAACCTGAAACATTTTCATGCCGTAATTTTAGCAAACCACGCTTTTTACATTAATAACACACATAAAAAACTTTAGATAAATGTTACTCTGACAATTACAGAAATTTCTGAAAAATTTCAATAGTTTACTTATTCATACTTATTTACAACGATTACTATTACACCGAAAATTAAAATAACCGTGATAAAATATCAATATTTAAACTGTTATTCTGCATGAAACTGCAAAATCCTGCAGCATTTTTAATTGATGAATCAATTATTATAAGTGCAACTCACAGACAAAGAATTTTCCTTATTGCAAGCAGATCGGGGAATTCCCTTATTACAGATGAGTCAAGAAAAACTTTTTATACTAAAAACTAAAAAGAAAACGACAAAATTTTATTAATTAATATTAAAAGAACTGGAAATTTTTCATTAGCTGATTTGGATTATTTTTAAAATTACAGTAAACATTTTAACTCTGAACACATAAAATAATATGATAAAAAGAATGCGCAATACTGACCAAATTTCCATTCACATATTAAATTACGACAAACTGTTAATTACATACCTTCAATCAACAATCGTCATCCAAATTTCCCCAACACAAACAATTAATATAACCCCTATTAACACGATTATTATTTTAATCGCCGTTTCTCACCAAACCATACTGAAACTTTTAAGTAAGGTACCAATTTTAATGTATTGCCAAAACGTATTGACAAATTCAGAGTTTTTGAAATATTTAGATATATGGGATAAAATGATTAGTAGAAACCAACGACTTCATATAACAGGTAGACGGCTCACCCACAGAGAATTCGTCTGCTAGGGTGTCTCCAACATACACCACGTGACTAATGCTGTTGGCGCTCTTGGGGAGTGATAGCTTAGGCTGTTCATCGCCAGTTTGACCCGCTTTTGATATGGCAGGTAGTACTTTTTATTTCCGTCTGCTAGCAGTCAGCAGACAACGGCCTCGAATTAGGTTGTTCGATTTTTTACAAGTATATTTAGATATAACTTAACCCCTTTTTTCCTGAATATTTTATCTATATTTTTAATAATTGCTTTAAATTATTTGCACCATTGTTTAAGATGTTTATGTTAAATAATTTTAGGAAGAAAATCTAAAATAATAATAAAAATTGAGATGGAAACTTTAATTTTGAATAACGTTAAAAAATTAATTGCACTACTGTTATAATATTTGAGAAGGTAAAAAAAATCTCGTTTAATTTTAATGCATTGCATCCTAAAAAGAAAAAGAAAATCACATTGTATTATATGTATTTATGCCATTGATTGCCTTTCTTTCCTTGAGATTATATTACTGGAACAAAATAATACACTCTCTTTTCTTGAGATTACATTACTGGAACAAAATAATGCAATCTTAATTACTGATTTCCACACTCATGTGTATGTCATGGGGGGGGGATCAATACATCTTATTAACTATAAAAATTATTTTATATTGAATATGTATCAAACGGTAACAAACTTCAACTCAGTATTTATTATTAGGATCAAAACGATATTACAGTTAAAAATTCTCTCTCTCTTCTTTTTTTTTAAATACTATTTAAAATATGGTAAGTTTTTCAAATCGCATTTTTTCAATTACAATAAATTTCTAACAGCATCGTAGATGAGACAGAATTATAATCCAGATTACTTTTTATTTAATTGATTTTATAGAAAATAATGATTAAAGCATTGAGCTTTATAAAAGTAATCTGATTTTTTTTAAAATAATGCTGTTTAACTGTTTATGTTCAATGTTTGCATGAATCAAGATGCTTTTTTTTTAACAAAGTAAACATATCGCACAATCTTTACTTAAATTATTAATGCTAATAATAGCATTTTTCTTTTTTTTATCGCAGGCAGTAATTGTTTACGAAATCAAAACGCGCACGACTTGGCGAAAAAAGGTTAGCGCCAATTGGCGCAGCTTTTTATTTCAACGGTGTACACGGAAAAAGACATATAAAATTCAATTATTTGCAAAGGGAGATTCTAGTAAATAGTGTCACCGTATTTAACACATTTTGATGCTAATAATATATACTGAAAATGTCATATACAGCGGCAATTTTCTTATACAGTATGGCTGAAACTTTCCCAACCAATTCAACAGAGATAGTAAAATGACAAAAAATACTGAAAATAAAATAATAAATCATGCAGTTTTTAACTTACTTATGAAAGGTTACAAGTCCTCCTTTCACGAAACTTTCTTTACATCCGTAGGCGCTGCAGCAAATAACCATTTTTACTTAAATTTTATGTGACCAGCAGAGCAGCAGTCTTTCGTCCCCATAGAAGCAATGTAAAAGTATTTCCGCACTTTCGGAATTCGTGCAGCAGTCACGTGACACTAATGTTGGAACCGGTTGAAGGTTGCAATACGCTCTCTACCAGTATATTATCTCGTTGGTAGAAACACTTTTTGAAAAAAAAAAAAAGGTTAGTTTAGTTAAAAAAATAGTTTAGCAACATGTAGAGGAATTTAATTGATGAAGTTTTGTGTTTTATTACTTCTTTCAACTCTAAGACGGAAACAACCTGTTTTGAAAAAGGGTCACTCACTAGTTTCTCTGTACTTTTCAAGAATTTCTGCATCGTAGTTTTTTCATAATTTTCTCGATTCAAGCTCTGACCTTCTAATTTTGTCGCTTTTTCGTTATTGATCCCTGCCTATAATATATGAAATCATTGTCACATCTAAAGTTTTAACCAACACCATGTTTTAACAATTTTCCTTTTCTAGCGGTTTTTCACTGAGTTTGTGAGTGGCAACTTATATAACCTTTTTTGTTTTTTGTTTATGTCATGAAAAGATACGTATTCCAGTTTTAGTGTACGAAAAGGCGTCCTTTGATTTCACCAGTGCCGCCCTAATCACAGGGCTAAATGGGCTATAGCCCCAGGGCGCAAGCCTTTTGAGGCGGCAATTTTTTATTTGCGATATAGTAAAAAATTTTTTTCATTTTATTAGTTTTTACTTATTTTTAAATTAAAACACTTCTTAAAATATTAAACTGATTTTTATTTCTTCCAAATGTGCTGAAAAACGATAGATAGAGAAGGGCAACGCGAAATAGGAGTAACACCCTACCGATCGTACTTTTGTTTCAGTCGCATTTGAACTGTCGGAGCTGTACTGGAGTTAATATAAGACCACCTACGTATACTCACCGCGTCGCCAGGGCATATTCATTTATCTAAACGTAAATTGTATTATTTTAACAATCCTGATAAAAGATAGGAACATAAAGGCACGACAAAAGTAAAATTGATATAATTTTAGTATTTGTCGACTGAATAAGGTGAACTAAAAATTGAAAATTAAGTGGAAATTATTAAATTATATTATTATCTTCCTAAGGTAAGTGCTTTTCCTTTTACATACACTAGTGGACAAAAAAAAACGCATATAAAAAAATGGCATTTAGCAAGATAATTTTATTTTATTTACAAAGAAAATACAGACAAAATTTAATTAATAAGGTTAAAAAATAAATTGGTTTTTTTTTTCTCATTTTATATTTAAAAAATATATTTACTTTAAAGGTATAAAGAAATTAGGTAGTATATTGAACGTTTTATAAAATCAAAGTGGACAAAAAAAAATGCATATTGAAAAAAAATTGCCTTTTCCCGCCAAAAAACATAAAAAAATTCTATGATTCAGTGCATCCATGTCAAAGCAATTATCAATTGAAGACAAGGCTCAAATTGTAGCTTTTCCACGAGTCTGGAATGAGCCAAATGGAGTTAGCAAAAAAATACTCCGTAAATCAATCAACAATTTCCAGAATTGTTAAAAATATATTATAAGAGGGTCTTCATCTCGAAAACCGGGATCTGGACGAAAGTTGTCACCTCTCATCAGGTGATTTAACTTTTTTGAAGCAAAATATCTCAAAAGATCCTAAATTAGGATCAAATAAATTGAAAAATATATTAAATGACAGAAAAAAAAATGTGTTTCATCTAGAACAATTCGTCGTGGATTGTGTTCTATAGGTTTGCCTGGCAGAGTTGCCTGTTTCTAAACCATATTTAAGTCCCTGAAAATGTTTTAAACAAATATGAGCATGCTAAGAAATGGGTTTATTACACTCAAGAGTATTGGAATAGCATAATCTGGGTCAGATGAGACCAAGATAAACTTGTTTGGATCAGATGGACGAAGATATGTGCGTCGTAAGGTAGGGGAAAGACATAATTTGAAAAATTTTAAAGCCTACTGTTAAACATGGCGGAGGGCATATTATGGTTTGGGGTTTTGTTTTAGCTCTAATGGCACTGGAATGTTAACGATCATTGAGGGAAATATGGATTCCCTTAAATATACTAGGATAATCGACTCTTGTCTTGCATTGTCAGCTTCAAAAATTGGTCTTAATGGATATGAATTCCAACAAGATAACGATCCAAAGCATCGTTCAATGCATTCAAGAGAATATTTCAGAGATAAGAAGATTATTGTGCTAAGCTGGGCCATCCCAATCACCAGATATGGAATCCAATAGAACTCTCTGGACTCACCTGAAAACAAGAATAAGGGAAAGACAGCCAAAAAACATTGATGAGTTAAAAAGGATAACGCAATGAAGAATGGGACAGGATTGATCCGGATTTTCTGCAAAAAGTTGGTCGAAAGTATGCCAGATCGAGCTGAAGCACTTTATAAAGCAAAAGGGCGGGCATACAAGGTATTAATTAAACAATATGCATTTTTTTTTTCCACTTTGATTTTTATAAAACCGTTCAATATACTACCTAATTTCTTTTTATACCTTAAAGTAATATATTTTTAATATAAAATGAGAAAAAAACCAGTTTTATTTTTTAACCTTTTAAAATTACTAAATATTATCTTGCTAAATGCCATTTTTTTGATTATGTGTTTTTTTTTTGTCCACTAGTGTATATGTTTAGCTAAAAATTAATTAATAATGATATATACATATTATTTAACAATTTTATAAACAATTTTTTATTCCATTATGTAGGAAGACTAACCATGGAACATAAACGAAAAAAATTATCTGGTTCCGCCAACCGTAAATTAAAAGAAGAGAAAGAGGCGAGGCAAAAAGCTCTCTCTCTTGGAAAAAATGCCTACATTAACAAATTTCTTTTAAAAAAGGCGAAAACTTTTTCTATGGATATTACAGAGGATGAGCAACACAAAGAGGGAAAAGAAAAAAATCAACAACAGTATGACAATAATGCCCAGCAATCAAATGTGAAAGAAAAAGAAGAGGACCAGAAACAACAAAACATGGAATAGCCACAGCCAGAAGATCAAGAAAGAGAATATTTAGATGAAGATGAACTTAGTAATATGTTAAGTGTTAATTATACTGATCCAGCATTATGGGGAAGATTAAGCGAAGATAAAATTATAGATATAATGAAGAACATACCTAACGTAGAGGTAGATATTCAAGAACTAGACTTTTCTGCATCTAAAGTGGTCTACAAATCACAGAGCAGGTATGCTACAAAAATGATATTTTATAGACGTTTACAAAACGGAAAACAACAAAAAAGAAACTGGCTTTTATACTCAAATACTTCAGGAAAAGTATATTGCATCCCTTGCAAACTGTTTGGTATAACTGCCAATAATCCATTTAGTGCAGGTTTTAACGATTGGAAACACAGTGAAAAATTTCGGACCATTGAAAATTCAGCCCTTCATAAAGAAAACACCCGTATAAATTGTGAACAGATCTACAGAAAAATGGGAATATTTCAAAAATTATTCTATTATATCAATGGAAAAAAATACGAAT